GTTTTTGTAATATTTGCCAAAATCTGAGTACGGATATCGTATATTTTTCCGCTTTTACTTATATGTACAAGCGCATGCAGACGTTGATAAAATAGCTGCCCTGTTTGAAACCAATTATATCATGATTTCCTCAGTCCGCATCCTGAACTGGAAGCCACGACCTCGTCGGCAAGGCTGTCCACGATTTAGCGCTAGTCAATCACCTTGGTTTTGAGAAGTGTCGTAAGCCGTGGGTCCATGTTTCAAAAGTCCTCGCAGGTGTCTGACGTGACCATGCCCGGCCACTCAGGTGTTCTGTGCGACGATTGAGTCCAGTTACATATTGCTTTCTTTTACAACTGTTATCAGTGATGATCGTTTTCGAAAATTTAGTTTGATAATCTGCCGATTAATGCCAACTGGCATACCGCAGATCAAGCGGCCTAATGATTTTATTGAACGGTACTTTCATTGTTACTGGTGAACTGTTTTTCTCTATGACAACTGCAATGTAGTTCTCATTTCCATCTGTATCTTATAGATTGTTTGTAGTCAAGCGTTCTTCGAACGTGTCCACGCAGCCGTCAACAGATTGATGAAATTTGGATGCAGAGAATGGCTCTTCGAGTTCGGTTTTATTCAACAGAAGCACTGTATGTAATCGAGACCTGTGTGAAGATTCCGTCATGCGACTGAAAGTTCTTTTGACACCGCCTTAATCCTTGACGGCAGTAAAAAATATGCGGCTGATCAAGTGGATGATGTGAAGGAGGAAAACCGCGAACCTGAACAAACATTACTTTCCATACTGTGGATCGAGAAGAAAAAAACATCAAAGGCTGGACCGATGACCTAGCGGATTAGTAAACAAAATACTGCACTGTCAACTGTTCAACCCCTGTTGCATGCTCTTTGCCAGACCTCACGTCCAAGAAGCGTTATCAATTCCTGTGTGGTGCTGAACAGAACGTTTCACAGTAAGCGCGTTAGAACACGGATACGGTGACACTGTATCTGTCCTATGCGGCCTGCGTAGATAGTCGGTGTCTTCATAAATATGATCTTCAGGCAAAGGATCGAAAACATTTACCTCGTGCAGGCAAATCGCCGGCAGCTGATGCCACTCATAAAGATTGTACTACGAATGCTGCCTCATGCAAATAATGAATAGCCCAACGGAGCGAACGACCCAATAGAGGTGCATTAAATCAGTTGGCATTACCGAAAGCGCGTGCTACATGACAAGAGACCAGGAAATGTTTGCTCAAGAGACTATTAATTCGATCCGTACTTCACGATGGGCAATGGGAATAAACGGCCTTAAATCACCGGTCGTGTAACCTGTTGAATGGTCCTGACATCTGTAGCAGTCCCCATCGTTTCATAAGTGAAAGCGTCACCCGCTCACTCATTCTTTTCCTCACGCAACCCTCATCCCAACCGGAATAAGGTTGGTCATGACTCAAAGCAAGAACGAACTCCTCCATTATTTTTGTGCTTTTGTCCTTTTCGGCATTCCTCACGCTCCCTCTTTGTACAAATGCCCACACACGATTCCAGCCGTCAACCTCGTCAACGGACAACGAAACTTCAAACGCTATGACAACCCAAAATGTTGTGATGGTGCGATTCGTCGCCGAATACCTGCCGGTCCAGGAGATCCAGAAAACGAGTGCATCACCAAGTTTTCACTTCTTTACATCCTCGAACTGAGCTGATGCTCCATTGAAGTCGAAAAATGCCAACTTAGTATCGGAGGGAATCCATTTTTCCGGTGTGGCAAAAGGAGGACCAAATGATTCGCTAAAAGTTACGCAAGATCGGTCAAAGAATGGCTCTTCAACAGTTATATCGATAGCAGACCACTTCAGCATCGCTACGACAGCCAGACTGACGGCATTCTGCCCACCTACACAAACTATCAAAAATGCGGATGATCAAACAAGTGATTAGATGCGCTTGTCCTTGCACTATTGGAAGGCTGAGGTGCCGCCTGCAGAAACGGTCGGAGTCGCATATTGATGGCACCTAATACCTGAAGTACTTTATAGTCGGCTGGTCGATGCGGATTAGTCCTTCAGACTGAACAAGGCAAGAGTATATAAACTCGTGTTCGGAAAAAATGTAACTGCCGATTGTAGTCCCCACAAACCGTCGATCAGACCTTAGCAGGTTCCTGAGTTCGACAGTCCGTTTGTGATACCTGTTTCGTTGTGATTCTCGCGCCGAAAGGTGTGTCTGTTTATAAGCTGGTTACAGGCACTGATGATGTTTGAATCTGAAATTCTGCAAATGTATGTTTTGTGTGTTTTGTATCTGATATATCGCGGTTCGCGACCCCTGAAAACCAAACTGTTTATGTCGCGCTCTAGAAATAAAATTTTTTGCATGATGCTTCAGTTGATTGGAATTTTAAATCATGGTCATCGAATTGTTTTAGCCGTAAACTGTTATCATCGTTGCCTCATATCAAAGATGGTTGTGAAACCTAAATCTATATTTCGAAAAACAGCACACACTTAATAGCGCATACATATTGAATCAGTTTTACAGTCGAATTGATCATACTCTAGTATTCTTGACGACTGGCAAGGTGCCGTCGATAGCGAATAAAATAAAGTGCAGGCAGGAAGAGAGAATTTTCTACCAGCAGTGAAGCATCCGTTTCGTCTGGCCGTTAAACTGATAATGCGAAAGGAGCGAAGCCAATCGATTCACTGTTGACAAGTTAAAGGACCCTCCCACTTGCATGGCGAAGAGAAATATGTTCGCTGCCAGTGAAAATGCCGGTTCCTGTTTAGACGAAGGTTTCCCCTCATCCTCAACTGTCTGAAAGAAGATATTGCCGCTATGACGCTTAAGTCTATTGGCTTCAATAACATGCAGTGATCGTGGTCTCGAGTACAACCGGTACTCCAGTTACAGAGAATGACGAAGAAGCAGGAGGAATGTATATGCTACCTTGATGAAATGATAGAGCGCGCTCTTACCTCTGAAATAGTTAACAGGTGGTGTCTCTGACGCGGCCAGAGCTGAGGGAACTTTTGGCAGCGGTTATATAGAGTTGCAGATGCTGCAGAGACGAACCTTGTCGCCAATGCTATAAGGCAAATCCAACCACGGAATGGGGCGGTTCGGCACGAAACTTCTCGGCGTCGATCGATAGTCTTTATCAATGTCTAAGGCGTTTTATTCTATGTGATCGGACTGTGTTAACTGTTATGGAGTTATGCTGCAGCTTTTTAATGCTAGGTATGCAACCTGTATGAACTTGGGAACCTCTGAATATCTTTATTGGAAGCGGATTGAAGATTTTTCACTAGTGAGTTATGCTGGTAATCATAACGCTGATAAAAGATATGTTCGAAAGAACAATGGTTTGCCAAAGCTGAACAGCAGTTAATGATCAGTGTTATATCGATTCGATACCTGGTGTGGGATTGGCCAAGGCTAGGCGATCTCGCCCATAATTAATATTGATTAACCGTCAAATTTGAAGAATATTGTACTGTGGCAAAACGAAAGACGCAATTAGCCCCGCGACAGCTCACAATCGACAAAAGCCTTTCTCGATCCACTGCCGGGTGAAGCCGTCTTCAAGACTATGTATGTTTTCTGTGATTCTTATCCATCTTGATTCATTGAACTTCAGCTTATCCCGCCATAAATCTTGAGGTCTTCCTACAGAT